GCTATGAAATAGGTGATGCTTGGAGGAGGCCATGAAGAAAAAAGAAAAATCTATTAAGGAGTATACTTTGGATCAACCTGTGTGGAGCGTAAAGGAAGCAGAATTTTGCAGAGAAAGTTATTGGGCTTCAATATCTTCAAAAAAGAAAAGGCCTTAGCCAATTCCATGGATTGACTATTCAGAGACAAGGCGGGGCAGGTCTTTATAGCCCCTCCCCTTGACCAGTCATTGGATATAGAGAAAGGAATGTGAATTTTGGGTGAGGTGGTTCTCCTCCGCTGATGGCAATCCCCACAGAGGAACTCAAATGCAAGCGATCATCCAACAACACTCCCAGCAGCTGGGGGAGTGAGTGTCTCAGTCCGGAAAGGGTATTCTGGATGGCTCACCACTGTAGCCCACTGTAGGTTGTGTGCCCTGGGCAGTGAGCAGGTTGATCTAGCCAAACATGAGAGTGCAAAAGTTAGGAAAGAATGAGGTTGGAAAGTTGGGAGGGGTGGACGTTGAAGGCCCGACATTGTGTTTTGTAAGTAAAGAGAAAGGGTCTTTTGTGTGAGGCAAGGTCATGGCTAGAAGCTGTAGCATCACAATGCATGGGGCCATCTAAGGGTGGGGAGAACCTAGAGAAAGGACTAATTTTTACCAGCTCCACGGTCAAGATGGAAAGTGGAAAGGGGACAAGTGAACAGGTAGCAGCGGCAATGGGAGGGAGGGGATGGAGATGGCAGAAGCACTGAGGACACACAGACGTTGCATGCTAACCATTTTCTACAAAAGACCTATGAGACTGAAAAAGAGACGATGCCTTACCATGGTCCACCATTCCATAGAATACTACCCTGCCTTTCAATGTGATATGGCTTGGATGTTTGTCCCCTCCAAATCTCATGTTGAAATGTGAACCTGCGGAGTGCAGTGGCTCACACCCATAATCCCAGCACTTTGGGAGGCCAAGGCAGGTGGATCACTTGAGCCCAGGAGTTTGAGGCCAGCTTAGGCAACATGGTGAAACCCTGTCTCTAAAAAATACAAAAAATTAGCTGGGCATGGTGGTGCACATCTGTAGTACCAGCTACTTGGGAGGCCAAGGCGCAAGGATCACTTAAACCCCAGGCGGCCAAGGCTGCAGTGGGCTGAGATCATGCCACTGCACTCCAGCCTGGCTGATTGAGTGAGACACTGTGATATGATTTGGCTCTGTGACCCCACCCAAATCTCATCTTGTAGCTCCCATAATTCCCACATGTTGTGGGAGGGACCCAGTGGGAGACAACTGAATGATGGGGGTGGATCTTTCCTGCGCTGTTCCGTGATAGTGAATGGATCTCACAAGATCTGTTGGTTTTAAAAACAGGAGTTGCCCTGCACAAACTCTCTTTTTATCTGCTGCCATCCACATAAGATGTGACTTGCTCCTTCTTGCCTTCCACCATGATTGTGAGGCCTCCCCAGCCATGTGGAACTGTAAGTCCAATAAACCTCTTTCTTTGGTAAATTGCCCAGCCTCGGGTGTGTCTTTATCAGCAGCGTGAAAATGGACTAATACATCCTGTCTCCAAAAACAAAAAAGAGAAGGGAAGAAAAAAAATGTGGTTCTCCCAGTGTTGGAGGCAGGGCCTGGTGGGAGATATTTGGGTCATGTGGGTAGATCTCTCATGAATGGCTTAGTGCCAGCTTCTTGGTAATCAGTGAGTTAATAGCTCAGTTACTTCACAGGAGATCTGGTTGTCTTAAAGAGTCTAGGACCTCCCCCTTCTCTTGTTTCCACTCTCACCATGTGACGTGCCTGCTCTTCCTTCACTTTCTGCCGTGATTGTAAGCTTCCTAAGGCCCTCAGCAGAAGCAGCTGCCAGTGCTGTGCTTCATGTATAGCCTGCAGAGTAGTGAGCCAATTAAACGTCTTTTCTTTATAAGTTACCTAGCCTCAGCTATTTCTTTATAGCATGAAAAACAGACTAACACAGAGTGGAAGTTCCATATAAGCAGGCATTTTTGTTGTTTTCCTAGCATTTAGAACAATACCTGGCAAGTGGCAGGTGTTTGTACCAATCAGCTTTGGCTGGCATCATGCTGAGTTACAAAACTCCCAAACTCTCGGTGGCTTACAGCAGCAAACATTTATTTCTTGCTCATAGCTCTATAGTGAACGGTAGCAACTCTTGTCCAGGCTATGGGGTAGGTCCAGGTCTGCTCCATGTGTCTTTCTAAGCAAGGGACTCAGCTGAAGAACATGGGGGACATATAATTTTTTGGTGGACAGCAGGAGCCCAAGAAGGCTAGCAGAACTTGCCATGCTTCTGCAAGCTTCTGCTAGGATCTGGCACACTGTCCTTTCCACCACTTCCATTCCCTTGGCCTAAGCAACTCATATGAACAAGCTCCAAATAAATGGGGAAGCGAAATACACTCCTCCCCTGGGGAGCTGGGGAAGGAGAGTGAATATTTGCTGAGCCACGATAAAATCCACAATCTGCTCAATAAATATTTGATGAATGACTGTATGAATAAAATCTACATGTACTGATATGGGAAGATCCCTAACACATCTCATTAAGTGAAAAAAGCAAGTTGCAAAGCAGTATATACACTATGATCCAATTTATAAACACACATACCAAAAATAGAACCATACACTGATATATGCACATATTTTTTCATAAATGCATAGAGAAGGGGCTGGAAGTGGATGTGCAGTATAACTTCTGGAAAGAGAAGTAAGATTGGGTAGGAGTCAAAGAAAACGTTTGCTCTTTCATCATTTGAAAATTATTTTTACAAAAAAGTATTTGTGCTTAACTTATATGGTTTTCTTTTTAACTACTGAAAAAGAAAGAAAAAAAGGAAAGAAGGAAGGAAGGAAGGAAGGAAGGAAGGAAGGAAGGAAGGAAGGAA